CACACACCCACGCCGCGTCATGCGCGTTGACATGATTTTGTTTTTCCTAAAGCGGGGTATGAAACGAGGACGAAGGTGGGGCTCATCTGACGGCTCGGGAATGATGTATACAAGGCCTGGGCAGCGACCGACCCAAATTTGGGCCGGCGCGCCGGCGCCTATCATCGCCCTAATCATATAGGACTGAATGTGTGCTCGCTCGATGTGACATCTTGAATCAATAAAAGTGCTCGTTATTGGAAACAATAATAAATCAAATAAGGTTGGCCTCGCTACGCATGCATGCTACTGAACCATGGAGCGCGTGACTCAACCACCATGCACCAAACACAGGTCCACGCCCATTGCCATCACGCACAAAACACCAGGAACCGCACGGTACAAATCCCTGAGCGCGCCACCCCTTCATTTCGCGCGCGACACCACACATCGTCGTAGTAGTCAGAGTTGAACACAACACACGCACAAATCCTTACACGAACCAGCCGATCCATGGCGCCATGCCGAGCAGCCGTGGTGAAGACGAGAGCGACGTGCGCGCTGCTGCTACTGCTGCTCCTGTTGGCCGATGTGCGGCCGCGGTCCGTGGCTGGGCAGGCGCCACCCGAGCCCGAGGCGGTCGCGACGATCGAGGCGGATGCCGACGGCCGCGGCAATGGCACCCGCGGCGCCGGCGGCGGCGGGAACGCCGCGAGGAAGGTGCTGAGCACCATCGACTGCCAGATCTGCGAGGCGACGTGCCGGGTCAAGTGCCTCATCAACAACCTCTTCCAGTGGGGCACTTGCTACCAGCGCTGCAAGGCCGACAACTGCAACGACTGGTGTAGGTAGCCCTTGGTCGAGCTAATGTGCCGGTGGATGCATGACACGCGCATGAAGCCATGAATGGATCCCACTCTACATACGATATAGATGTCCTTGTGTCCTGCCCGTGCTAAAATTTTCGCTTCCACGCCCTATATGTAAAGATGGCGCTGCTATTTTAATTGTATTTACGTATAAACTCGAGCTCAGTGCAGATAATAAAAACTTTGATGCTCACAAACACATATGCACCTACGCTCATTCCTATGAATTCACACACAGCCGAAGTCATTGAGCATAGTTTCATTTACAAGTAGAAACATGAATGTTTCCCTGCGTCTTTGTAAAAAAGAAAAGAAAAGAATGTTCCTACTTTTATATTGAACTGTGCAGTGCTATATCCTATATGCAAGAAAAACTATAGAACAAGGAAATTCAATTTCCTACAATTCAAAAGTGTTTTCCTCGAAACCAACAAATCAGCTACTCTATGTTTTTTTTTGTTTTTTACTTTCACAAAATATATACTCCAACACAAAAAGCTATTTGTATATACTTTTTTGTGTGAAAATGATTCAGATATATTATCAAAGTTCACCCGCAAAAAAGAAGAAGATATATTATCAAAGTTCACCGGAAGTAGAAAGCACATCAAACATAATAAAAATTACATCAAGATACTGAGACCACCCAACGATCCAATTGTATATACTTATCTCTAAGGCTCATTAGATTTAGAGGATTCCGACGGAACTTTCACCAACGGTGTTTTTCTCTATATTTAGCATTCGCTTTCATAGGAATGGAGACACTAGGTTCCTAAAGATTGCATTCATATTGGCCTGATTTCTAAGGGTTCTTAGCATCAGGTAAGACCTCCTGAAGATATCTCAACGACTGAAGTGAACATGGCATTCCATTTTTTTCTTCTTATTCTACCATGTAAACCAAACAAGCACCTATTAATTAGGTAAGGGTGTGGCTAGGTCTTAGTTGACTGAGATTTTAACTAAGTCTCAGTCAAGTGACATAACATATAAGAGAGAGAGAAAAGAAACTAAAAAGGAAATTTTACATGGATCTCAATGTAACATCTCGTGGATATAACATCGACTGAGACTTAATGAAGTCTCGACTGAGACATAGCAAGCCCGGTTGGGTAAAACCTAAAAAATGCACACGTTCTCGTTGTGGTTTGAGTTGCTATTTATTCGGGGAATGTATGTACAAATTGTAACTTGTAATTGGGACGTGGGATATCATTTGTTTGTTCTTCACTAGAATCAATCATGCCATGAAACGTGTGACTCAACCACCTTCCACCAACAAAGGTCCACGGCCGTTGCCATCACGCACAAAGCACCAGGAATCACACGTACAAATCCCCCGCGCACTACATGCACCCTCACTTCACGCGCGCCACCACACATCGTCGTCGTAGTCGACATTACACAGACCACACGTACGTACACACAAACCCTCGCACGAACCAACCAATCCATGGCCGCCGCCGTGAAGACGACGAGAGCGACGTGCGTGCTGCTGATCCTGCTCCTGCTGGCCGACGGGCGGTCAAGGCCCGTGGCTGGGCAGGCTCCACCGGGGCCCGAGGAGGCCGCGACAATCGAGGCGGATGCGGACGGCCGTGGCAACGGCACCCGCGGCGGCAGCAGGAGCGACACGACGGCGAAGGTGTTGAGCACCATCGACTGCCAGGTCTGCGAGTCGACGTGCCGGGTCAAGTGCCTCATCAACAACCTCTTACAGTGGGGCAGCTGCTACCAGCACTGCAAGGCCGACAACTGCAACGAGTGGTGTAGGTAGCCCTCCGTCGAGCTAGCGAGCCGGCGGATGCATGACACGCGCATGGATCCATGCATGGATCACGAGGACGTTCGTTTTTTGCGATTCAAGGGTTGCTTTGAATACAACAAATCAGCTGCTCTATGTTTTCCTTTTTACATTCAATGAATCTATATACTTTCCATACGAAAATCCATTTGTATATGTACTCATCTTCCATTTTGCTGAAGTCATTGAACTGTTCTCACCGTAATTTGGATTGTTGTCTTTTTCGGGAAGATGTACATACCGTAAATCGGCAGTCCTGTATATAGGATGCTTACTTTTTTTTCGCGGGAAAAATAACTTTCATTACTCAATCAAAATGTCTTTACAATCAAGAGAAGCAATCTCCATCAACTCAACCGGCCCAGCTCCCAGCCAGGTCATGGTTCTACCTTGTGTTCTAGCAAATCCTGCTAATATATCACTAGCTTTATTCTGAGATCTAGCAATATGAGAGATACGAGTCTGTCCAAGGGATATTAAGTGCTTAATCTCCTTCACGATGGAAGCGTGGACGGAGCGGTCGACGACGTCACATGAGATCATGGCCACGGCCTCAAGAGAATCCAATTCCAATAGCACTAGTAGAAAAAGAGGCTTCCGTCCAGCCCCATTAGTCGCGAAACTGTAGGAACCGCGACTAATGAAGTCTTTAGTCGCAGTTCGGCAGATGAACCGCGACCAAATGCCTGGGCCCAGGGCGCTCGCGGGCTTTAGTCGCGGTTGGCCAGGCCAACCGCGACTAAAGGTGCCCAAAGGCCTTTAGTCGCGGTTGGACAGGCCAACCGCGACTAAAGCTCCTCCCTTTTAGTCGCGGTTTGTGGCACGAACCGGAACTAATGGGGTTGAGACCTTTAGTCCCGGTTCGTGCCACGAACCGGTACTAAAGGTCCCATTTTCAAACTCTACCCCCCCCCCGATCGCCTTTTCAGTTTTAAAAAAAATAAAAGAAAATAATGGAAATGTCAAAAAAATAAAAGAAAATAAGTTTCTCATGTGATATGTGGTCTAGTTGTTGGGAAAATTTGCAAATGTGAATTTTGACTTTATTTGCAAAATCTCTCTGAAATTTGTAAAAATGGGCATAACTTTTGCATACTAACTCGGATGAAAAAGTTTTTTATATGAAAAATCATCTACTCGAAAAGTTACATCCAAATGGGAACCCCGTTAAACATTTTCAAAATCCTCAAAAACCTAATAGAAAAAAAGTTACGGGGCTTGTAAGATCTAGAGTGGAAAAAATTGAAAAATATTCAAACAGTGGGCAAACTATGGTCAAACAATGGTCAAACTAATTATTCTAGAATATTAGTGTTACTAAATAATTATTTTAATTATTTCAATTTTGGTCAAATCTGGTCAAACTGTGGTCAACTGTGGTCAAACTGTGGTCAAACAATGGTCAAACTAATTATTCAAGAAATATTAGTGTTACTAAATAATTATTGTTTTTTAAAACAATAGTTTCAAACTCAAACAGTGAAATGTGTCACTTCATGCTCAAGCAAAATTCCTGAAGGTTAATAGGATTGACATCTTATTATTGTCAGAAAAACAACAAGTGCAGACTTGGAGCGTGGGAGAATAGAACCTGGAAGTTAAGCATGCTTGGGCTGGAGTAGTGAGAGGGATGGGTGACCGGTTGGGAAGTTAGATGATTTGGAATGATGAGGGGTGATAAAAGAATAAATTGAGAAGTGATGAGGGGTGGTGATTAGAGACTAGAGGTTAAAATAATTCAGAAATTTGAAAAAAAAATTCAATTTTTTTTTTCAAAAACCTGTGGCGGCCTTTAGTCGCGGTTAGCCACAAGAACCGCGACTAAAGGTCCTCCGCCCACGTGGACGGGCCTTTAGTCGCGGTTCTTAAGCAACCGCGACTAAAGGGGGGGGGGGCCTTTAGTCGCGCCCGTCTGGTCGCGGTTGCGCAACCGCGACTAATGGCAGTTGCGAACCGCGACCAAAGGCCCTTTTTCCACCAGTGTAGTATGGGCTGATCAATCCGTTGAATCGCCAACGAGAGCCCTTCCATGCAAGCACAAATCTCCGCCTCCAAGGCATCTCTACAGGAGTACAAGGTCCTGCATGCCGAGAAATTAATGGTCCCTCGATGATCTCGTAAAATCATTCCCGCCCCAGCATTACCAGAAGGATCAAAGGACCCGTCAGTGTTCAGTTTGCACCACCCCAACTCTGGCGGCTTCCATTTTCTCTCCTCTGGCACAGTAACAACACTTCCAGATGGCCTGGGCAATTCATACACTAAAGGAGACTTGCCTTTTATTGGATCTGCATGTGGTAATAGCTTGATTCCGATCAGAGAGTCCACATAGCTTTGCAAGAACCGTACTGAAGCCTCCATATATGGTGCAGGCTTACTATGTACCACTTCATTCCGGATAAACCAGCTCCTCCAGAAAATCATCAGGACCATCATCCGCCCCACATCATTTAATGGTGCTAAAACATGTAGCAGCCACTCTTTCCCGATGTGGCGTATGGATTCCAGCTCCGGAATCGACCACACGTTGGACATTGCTAGGTACAGGTCCCGTCCAAACTGACAGTTAACGAAAGGATGAAAATTGTCTTCCTCCTCCATCCCACACACCGGACATATGCTACTAACTTCGAGGCCAATTTTATGCTTCCGCTGCCAGGTAGGGAGCGAGTTAGTGGCCAGCCTCCAAGCAAAATTACGAACTGAAGGTGGTGCCCAGCTTTTCCAAACAAATTCCCAACACTTCCTCTGTCCTGACGGTGACGAACTTGAAGAAACATCAGAGGCCCGGTGCGCCTCCTCAAAGGCCAGATTATAAGCTGACTTAACAGTAAATATCCCGTATTTACCTGGCCCCCATGCTAGCACATCATCCTCCAACCTTGGGAATGCTCTGATCTTTGCTATTTCTTGTACATCCGCATTAACAAAGTAAGCATTCAAGAGCTCATAGTTCCACGATCCGTTCTGGTTTAACAAGTGACACGAAACGAACACGACATCTTCCCTGCGGCGAGATTGGTTTATAGGAAAAAGGCCTTGGGATTCAGTTGTCTCGCCAAACTCGAATGCTTCTGCCATTGCCAACTCTCCATACTAGGCCCTTCTTCAACAGATCCAATCCATAACTGATCGCTTGCCATGACGACGAAGCATTCCTGGTGAAAACTGTATCA